ACACATACCGTATGATTGTCATTGCTTGAAGCAAGGTCATTTAGAAAGTTCAAGTTCACATACATTCCTTTACAGTGTTTTTCATGGCGAAACATTGTAAGTTTCTTCCTTTACAGGCCTTTAGGTTGCTTACTTGTATAACTTTAAAAGTGGCTTGACCTAGACTCAAAGTTACGTCTTCCTATCCGTAGCTCCAACGGAAGACCTATTCGTTGCTTTGCAACGAGCTGGCTCTAGTTATTCTTATTATTATTTTTCTTCCGCTGTTTTTTTGTTTCGACATTTATCGAAGAAACTTTTTGTTCGGCGTAAAGGTCATTAAAAGTTAGGAACAAAACCCAACCGTTGAACTATGACCACTTTCGAAGTTATTGCCCCTTTCGCAAGAAATGCTTTTTTCGCTACTCCTTTGAAACCGTAAACCGTAGAGGTATGAAACCTTCACCAATGTCTTGGATTAATTAGGGGACTTAATTATTCATTGCAAAAGTATTCGGTGACCCCTTTCAATGAGTTATTGCCCCTGAAAGTCTTAAAGCTGACAAGAAAAATTAAAAACTTTTAAAGGAAAAGTGGTAAAATTGGGACCAAGTCTGAGATCTTATGACCTTTGACCTTGAAAAGTAGGTCAAGGTCAAAGGTGGTTTTGGGGAAAACTAGAGAAATGATCAATTTAAGCTTAAAACCCAAAATGACCTTGCCTTTTGACCTTAAATTTAACATTGACCTTCCCCATTTTGCCCCTTACTAGAAGGTAATAAAGAACTATTCATTTCCTTTATCAGATTCAGCCTCAAGTATTAATCTATTAACTCCTTTCCTTTTTTTGGGGATGACCTTGACCTTTGACCTTGATAAATGACCTTGACCTTTGACCCCATTGACCCAAAGGTCACAATCAAGCTAAAGGTCGTGGAATAATTTACAACAATCACTCTAACAAATGCTTAAAATTACCCCCCCCCCCCCCCTGTAAAAAAATCAAATAAAATCAACACCAACTTAGAGAAAACGTCTACAAATCAAACGAAACAAATATCGACAAAAAATTCATAATAAAAGGAAGAAGAGACCTAAAAGAAAGTGTCCTGAAAGTTTTAAGGTGGTCTCTTAAGTACAATGAAATTCTAGAAATATCGGCAAAATCTGCATTTTTTTCTGTCTGAAATTAAGCTACTGCTGAGCATAAAAAGTAATTAAAGCTTGCATTGGCTATTTCTGCAATTATTGTTAATATATTCGATTCTCCTGCTCTATTACACATTTTAATACCAAGTATTCTAGCTTTCTTAGGTGTATGGAATTTATTTTAATTTTATTTAGATTTAAATATGAATCGGCTAAAACTCAAAAGCTTTTTTCATATAAAATAAATTTGCATGCTCTCCGTGACACCGTCTTTGCATGAAATGCATGTTTCCAGTTTAATTTATGCTCATAACTATGAATTCAATGCAAATAGAGATGATTATTTATTCTAACCTATGAGTTCGCCATTTCTGTCAAAACAAACGCGCCTATATTTTCACAAATTGTAAACACAGTGCCGACACGGAAGTTCGAATGTATCATAAGCTCTGTATGATTAACTCAATCTATTCAAACTACAAACAAACTCAAATGATTTTTTTTTAATAGGAAATCTCCATTTTCATTATCAAACAATCGTTTTTCTCAGAACTATTCATTATTCCTCTCTATACATAACAAACAAATAAATACAAGTGTTTCTGTACTATTTTTATTTAAATCCACGTGCTTTCAATTCTTCTTTTTTCTTCACTCTTAGTTTACGGAAAACAATGTCATCGGAGCCTGTGGTGTATGCGTAAGCGCTCGCCTGGCAATCTGAGGGCTGAGGGTCCACAGTTTGAATCCTACTGTCAACACTTTTTTAAAATTTTTTTTTTTTTTTTTTTTTTTTTTTGGTTTTTTTTGGTTTTCCTTCTTTAATTCAAATTAAATGAAAACTTAAAAAAAAGGTGGGAAGACCATTAATTGTTCAGTGAACAAATTTGTCTATAGTGTTAAACTACAATGTAGATCAAACATAGCCCCGAAACTTTCGTATTGCTAGCCCTTTAAAACCATTAACCGTAGGGATGCGAAACCTTAAACAGTGTCTTCAACTACTTTAAATACTTTGACCTTCAAATTTGGTCAAGGTCAAAGGTCAAGGTCATTCATTTTTAGGTCTTTCCACCTTTCTGTGGAAAGACCTATTATTTTCTTCTTTTATTGGTCTTTCCACCTTTCTGTGGAAAGACCTCTTGAAATGCTTCTGTTTTTTATTATTCTATTTCTCACCTTATTTTTGACACCTAAATTATCGAAAAACTTTATAGTTCATGATACTGGATATTTAAATTTTCCGAAAATCCCCCCATGTTTTAACTTTGGGCCCCCATGCATTTTTCCCCTTTTACCGTTAAGCTTGTTATCGCTACTCCTCCGAAACCGTAAACCGAGAGATTTAAAACCTTCACCATTGTCTTCAACTAATTTAGGAGGCTTTTCAATCTATTCATTGGGAAAATTTTCTTTGACCCCTTCAATAGTAACTGCCCCTGAAAGTTTATAAATTTTATAAAAAAATAAAAATTTTCAAAACGAGAAGTCGTAGAGCATGAAACCAACTGCATCAGTTTCATTGACCTTTGGCCTTTAAATTCATTTCAAGGTCAAAGGTCAAGGTCTTTCCCAAATATGGGAATAAATTTCTTTTAATAGCTCCTATATCCTTAAACATATAATATCTATCTTCTGTCTGTAATATGCACTCTTCATACTCTTTTGAAAATTCCATTCTTGTCCCCCAAAATTGACCCTTTTAAAAGTTATTGCCCCTTGTGTGAAAAACCTTGTTATCGCTACTCCTCCGAAACCATAGACACTATAAACATAAATTTTCACTAATGTCTTAAGGGTCTTTAGGCCTAAATTCATCGTATAATGCGAAAGGGTTGATGACTCCTTATATGAATTATTGCCCTTTAACATCTTTGTACTTACTATTAAAACCCTTTTTACTTGAAAAGTATAAATGTAGAGGCATGGGGTCAAATTTCATTTACCCCTTTACCTTTTACCTTGAAGATTTTTTTAAGGTAAAGGACAAGGTCACTTATTTTTTTTTTTTTATTTTTTTTTATTTATCCTTTTAAGACAAATTTTGTTTTCTTATTCATTGAAATTTTTTTTTAAGGGTCAGATATAAAACAGAATTGAAATTCAAAGAAGGTGGAAAAACCTCTTATTGTTCTTTGAACAATAAGTCTCCAGTTATTTCTTTTTTCTTCTCAACCTAATGTATGCTGTATTTTATTACTAAGTATGTAATAAACATATTAATACATACCTTTTTCCATATCAATCCGTATAGCCCCCGACCAATATCAGCCCTCGGGCCTTGGCCCTCTGGCTGATTTGATTTCGGGCTGATACAGGATGTGATATGGAAAAGGGTATGTATTATTCTCTATATCTAGAAACCAGAAATTGAAATATCGTATGTTTATTTTGCTCTTATAGAAAAAAAAAGGGAAAAGGGGAAAGTGGTTTTCCTTATAATATACGAACCATTTTTAGGAACTGTTAATTTTTATTCACTCTTGTTTGAGAACAAAAGTTATGGTAATTCATCCTTTTCTACGTCTATAATTGCAAAAATATACTGGACACAATGACTTTGTTTGCAATATGTTTTTATTTGTAAGACAAGGAGCACTCAGCAGGTGTACGGTCAACAAGGGATGCTTACTCCTCCCTGGCATCTGATCCCAACTATTGATATGCCAGGGGTTTGCTTCCTCTCATTATAACCCCCCCCCCCCCCACTTAGAAAGTTGGTGGATATATAGCGATCGAGATGTCCATCTCTGTACGTCCATCTGTCTGTTACTCTTGGGGTACTCTTCTCTTATGAATGAAATTTAATGAAACTTTCAAAGATTCTTTGTAACATAGTATCATTATGACCCCCTACTAGTATTTCACTTTTTGATCGGACACATATTTCGGGGGATTTTCCATAGCACTGAACATTGACACTGCCACTTTTTTAATAATATTGAAGGGTACCCATCTCTTATCCGCTAGTCCTCCTATACCACCGATACTTTCACAGATTCTTTACTACGTAATGCCATTCTTACCTCCAATTTTACTTTATTTCGGGTGTCTCCCAGAGCAAAACATGGACTCCTATTATAATTATATGGGAGGCGAGGGGTATCTTTAGGAGCTCCGTGCTCACAGTAGCTTTAGGTTTGTATCATTTAATAGATTTATACTGTTTGTTATCTTCAAATTCTGATTTTTAGTACTTAGATGTTTAGCATGTTTTGACAGGTGGACAGGCGGAATTGACGACAACAACGACACAAACACCGGAAGTATGCATGGATCTAAATGCTGCTTTCTGCAGCACCACATCTGTTCAGTCTTCTATATGTTCCGACCCCGACCTGTCTGTAAACTGGTGCAGAAAAACATGCGGAAGATGTCGTAAGTGAACATGAGTTTTTTTTTACTTTCATTAAAAAGATTAGGAAGTTTCCGTGCAAAAGAGAGAAACAAATGAAAATGTAATTGTCTAACAATCTCTTACATGCCATTGAAAGCAAAAAAATCAACATAAGATTAAAAACGTGTATGCTTGCATTTTAATTGATATGGATCGTTTTGTTAGCTACGACGACCACCACCACCTCGGTCCCGTGTGTGGACAACACCCCGGACCTATGCAGTGCTCCAGGAGCAGACCTAGTCTTCTGCTCAGATCCTGCGCGCGCAGTCAAATACTGCCAAAAAACCTGTAATAAATGCGGTAAGTTAATGCTACATGACATTGATTGACTACGTATTGTTTTACGTCCCTTTCGAGAAAGTTTCACTCAAACTGAGGCATCAACATATACCGGTGAAGGGTCTCGAATTTTAAACCTTATATTCGATCGGTACTCTGTTCCGTAAGCGTTGAGAAGTGAGGGATATTTATCGTGCCAACACCTACCGTGACACGGGGCCTTGGTTTACAAGGCTTTATCCAAAGAACCCGCAAACTTTTTTTTTGAAATGCCGAGCGCTTGGTGGCGGAACAGGTGCTACCTATTTTATCGACTTCAGGTCAGTTGTGGCAGGTGTTCAAACCCAAGACCTTCCTATCATATGGAGCAAGCGCTCTACCAAATGAGTTTCCGTTGCGGTCATTGCCTTTAATTAAATATAGCATATAAAGTAAGGATTGTAAAACAATTTGACAGAAACTAATTCAGAAGCTTCCCTAATAAGAATAAAGTTTTGATAATTGTCAAATATTCTACAAATCAAAATCACAAGTTTGAAAGAATAACAATCAATAGGTTCTCACAAGAGTTTCATCCATCCGCACGTCTTGATTAAATTTAAATTATTCCCAAAAATGTTTTCAAACTGTCTTTGTTTTATTTATATTAAACAGATGGATATATAATTGAAATACAAATTAAGCATAAGTATTTATTATTAAATTATCCTGCTCAAGTATCGTGGTTAAAATCTTTTTAACACAACTTTGAAACAACAGATATCCATCTACATCAAAACACGGCCACACCAGTACGTTCTACAACTGCGACAACAACGACAACACCAACAACCACCACTACAACACCAACAACTACCACGACAACACCAACAACTACCACGACAACACCAACAACTACACGTCACCACCCTGGTTGTGCGAGGACTACGACGTAGCCCACTGCGCTGATCCGGAAGTCAAATTGTTGGTGTGTCTGGATATTAATTTGAATTATCTCTGTAGAAAAACGTGTGATTTATGTGAGCACAAAGGTTGAATAAATAAACTCATATTGTATTCACTCTCTCGGACACTTAATTGATTTATGTAACTCTTTTTCATGTTTTGTTGTTGTCGTTTTTGTTGTTGTTGTTATTGTTTAACGTCCCTCTAGAATTATTTTTCACTCTTTTGAGACGCCAGCACTTGCTATAGTCGTTGGAGTGCTGTAAATTTTTACTTATGCTCGGCACTCAGGTCCAGTGAGCAGTATGGGATCACCTACTGCGACACAGGACCTCGGTTTATACGGTTTTATCCGAAGGACCGGTCTCCACGTCCTACGTAGGTGGAATTCAAACCCACAACTCCTTACTCCGCGACTCTACCACGCTGCCACGCGAGCGACATCTTTCCATTTGAAACAACTTTTATTAAATATTTTAAAGATTAATTGACACTTTTTTGTTTACGCCCAATGGAGAATACTTGACCATGCAAAGATACGACCAGCTTTATGTGAATTGATCATTATTAGCATTAAGATTCTTTCTCTTGCCAATGCCTATCGAGACATGGGCATCTCGGTTTTGTAGGAGTAACACACTATTTGACGTCTTAAGATTGCCATTTTTCCTGTCACGATGCCTGTCTAATGAAACATAATTAGAATGAAAACTAGAGCAAAGCTCGTTGCAAAGCAACGAGTGGGTCTTCCTTCCTAGCGATAGGCAAAAGATTAAATGTTTCTGTCTAGATTGTCAACTTTGCTAACATTCTCTTTTTCGATTTGTCTCAAAAACCCTTACTTGAATTCTTTAATTTGGTGTGAGCATGAGGTCTAAAAGGTACTCTCTCTAACAGCATTCTTGAAATCGTATCCACAACAGTTAAACTTCCAATATTATGACTTTTGATATCGGATATATCATGTTTGTTGCAATTATGTTTGTGAAACGTGTCATACTACAGAAACATAAGTGTTTTGCTACATTACCATCTTAAAAATGGCTTTAAAATCATTTAATATACAATATAACTAGGTAAATAAAATAAACAAATTATATAATAAATCAAAAAATCCAAATGTATTTACAATAATGATGAACAATCTTCATTAGTTGCAATCAGTTTAAAAATA